GGTTAGGATTTGACTCTCCTCTTGTCAAAGAAATCGAACATTTGCACTGCACACCTTTCATCACCAAGTAAACAATCAGTAGAGCCCAAGTCTTAAGGGCAGTCAAAAATAGGGTGTCTACATGTACATTGTATTTCTATTTGGAGAAAAATTATTGTAATTTGAGGTTTATTTGGATTTTATATGGTCTTGAAAATTAGGGTCATTATAGTTGGTATTTTTCTCCAAACAAAAATATAGTGTACATCTCTCTCCCAAGGAAATTAAAATTACACCTCTGGTACGACAATCCTAACTAACATATTTTGTTTAGCACTCCTAACCAATCACTGTTAAGTCTACTACATTGTCTTCCTCTTTACAATCTCTTTGGTACTTGGCATAAAACGCCAGGGAAATACAAAGAAAGCCATGAGATGTGAAGCCCAATAGAGTACTACAACACGATAATCGACCCATCGTGATAATACAATTATATGCATAGTATAATAATTAATAGAATTAAAACAACCAAATGTAGAACAACAAAATATTTAAAGATAATAATTAAACATGTTAGCTGTTAGCAATTCAGTACTTCTAAGCAACTCTCTCCATAGAGCGCCATTCTTACGAAACCACTAAACAATGGACACGAGGCTATTTGGACCGCTCCTTGGTCCTACATCGAATCCAGTACCAAGGATGCCTACGCCTCGGGTTATATACCAGAGTCGTAACATCAATGGACCGCCAAGAATCACAACCTTCCAGAGGTATTTCCTCTATGTTAGACTCTCACTGTCCTCCTTATCCACCCTAAATCTACACCACGTGCCATTTTAGGGTAACGCAACAAACTTGCGCAAGAATTCCAGATCAGAGCTAACTCTGATAATAATAACCACCAATTATCTCCAAATTATATCACAAGAACACATCACATGAACATATCACAAGATCACAAACCGTGTAACAACCCAACCACCTTCATTTATTTATACAAATAAATATTTGAATCATTTTAGGGCAAACTCCCTTTTTCCAAATATCAACCCAATGCCAAAATTAACTATTTTGTAACCATACAACCTTATATTTAATCTCATAACCATTTCCATAACATATACTTGGAAACCCCTCTTTGATTTTACAACCTAAACCCTAGGTTTGTCCATAATATACCCAAAGTCTACCACTGTTACACAATCATCAAATAACTAAGTTAAAAACCATATGAAAGTGTACAAAATGCCTACCTCAAGCTTAGAATACCAAAGTAACAAAGTGACGCTCGAGCGTCAGACACATTGTTCCGCTCGAGCACAGAATGCACACTTTCAGAAGTTTTGTAGACGAAGGACATCGCTCGAGCGCAAGACTGGACTCTCGAGCGTCCACCCGCTCGAGTGTAGAAGACGCCATTCGAGCATAGAATTCACTCTTCCAGTATTTGCAAGTTTGCAAAAATATTAAGAGTTTGCAAAGCCCGCTCGAGTGGAGGAGCAAAAATTACAAAGCCCACTTGAGCACAAGAATGGTCGCTCGAGCGGATGAGCAAAAATCTGGGCAACAAAGGTTTGGAAAACAAGCAATCAACTTGTTCCAAACACACAACTACAATCCAATAACCAAATTTAAAGGGGATTAAGAAGAAAAACGACAATAAACAACATTCAGAAACTATAAGCCTGAGTCCGGAAAGCAATAAGAGTCGGGTCAAAACCGGAATCGCTATATAATGAATATAAGAAATAGTTTGGAACTCTTATTGTCAACTTTTATATAGAATCAGATGCACTCGTATGGACCCTAGCCTAGCCAAACAACCTAACCAACCTTTCTAGACCTATTTGAGACATACTAGATACCGCATGGTTAATTCCTTTCATTTTCCCTCAATTTCTTGCAAATTCGGAAAATATTTTATCTTCTGTGTGGCATTTTTTTGTGACAAAAGTTCAAGTTTCCAAAATTGGTTGTTTTTATTTTGAAGTCTTTTCGAGGGAGTGCTCACTACGGGTATTCATAAGTCAGTTTGGTTTAGTTTGATACTAAATTTGAAACCAACCCAATCATGATCTGTTTCATGTTTTTTTACCAAGAACCAAACCAATCATGCACTATAATCAATCCAACCCAACCCAACCCAACCCAATGTAGCTCAGGTTAGTTCGGGTTGAAACCATGGTTGCACTATATTGAAAATAAGCAAATCAATTAATAATAAATAATTAAAATAAACAATTCTTTAACATTTAAACATCACACAAACAAAGAGCAAAATATTTTTTTAATACAAGCTAATATAAATTAAATCTAACTTAAGCTTGAATATAATTAATACAAATTAAATCAACTGCGAAATTTGACTCAAACTTCTAGTACTTCATCTACCTAATAATTCTTGTATATGAAAAACTATTAATTGTAATCATGTCCATTGTAATAGAGTAATAAGGTAAATACATGTTAATATAAATAAATAAGTTCGGTTCTCGGGTTGATTTGGTTTAGGCACCAACCCAATCCTATTGGTTTAATGATTTGAAGACCTAGAACAAAATCAATGCGCTCAAAAATCAACCAAACCAACCCAAAAAAGTTGGTTTGGTTCAATGTTTCGGTTCACTGGGTAATTTGAACACTTCTAGTGCGTATGATCTGACTGACCAGCCACAACCGATCGACCCGCCACAACCGACCAACCCAACCCAATCCACCCACTTGTAAGAGGTTTCGATAGTATGGGCGAACAAATGCAAATAGAGATTTTTCAAATCCACCTATGTTTAGACGGATAGCGAATGAGAGGTCACTCGACCCAACCGAATTCACTAACCCCCATTAAAAAAATGATGTTATGTTTTTGTACTTTGTATGTTAAAAGAAGGATATTTTATTTAGTAATAATATTAGGTACTTATGAAAAATAAAAGTTTAACCTTTATTTTAATTATAAAAAATGAAGAATCAAAATTTGAGACTAAAATAAGGCACAAAATAGTAAAAAGTTATTCTAAAATAGTTCAAAAAAATCATAAAAAAATAAAGTCCAATCGCCAAATCGATCTGCATCCACCCATCAACCCGCACAACCCGCTCAATCCGCATCCGCAAACTAAATGGACGGATACAGATTGATTTTTTCAATACGCCTAAATTCAGATAAATGACGGATGAGAGGCCACGACCTAACCTGATTTGCGAACAGCCCTAGTATTTTCAAAGGGTTTTCCAAAATGTAAGATTCACTTTAAATCAAATATTCGGTAGCCATTTTATGATCATTCGTTAGTTTTCAACAAAAGATTAAAAAAAAATGGTCTTTTTACAAAATCTATATATTAGAGTTGGACTGGGTCATTTTTTATTTCAAAGTAGGCTTATTTAATTACTAAATAAAATTATTTTCGAAATATTTTAAAGGCTCAAACCAAGAACTATGCTTTGAAACTTAAAAAGACTAGAAATTGTAAAGGAAACACAAAATAGCACACCCAGGCCCAAGTAGCCAAACTGACCATCCAAGCATTTTCTCAGGCTTAAGGAGAGCAAGACCGACTTTCCTAGAGAATTGAACCAACTATATGTGTGAGTTTTTCTTCGTTGTGTTTTGCCTTCAATTGTGTAGTTGATTTTATCCCACTTCATTTTTTCAAATCCCACATCAATAAAGGCCCACATAAACCCTCTGCCACCACTCACCCATTCTCTACCTTCAGTCATCACCATTCAATCTTTTTTCATATTTGAGTACCATCCAAAATGTTTCCCACTCCCCGCATTACCTCTCATTCCTTGCAACCACCAGTCCTGTGAAACCCTGTATTTTTGGATAATAAATTGAAGTGCTAGAGATATTTTTATTAGTTGTGGTGGAATATTTTTTTGGGAATCAAACTTGTTAGGATCTTAATCTGCTTTACACTTTGGAAAACTTTCATTTTCGAAGATGTTTCATCTCAATCTGTCTCTAAGTTTGATTTTTATATCACAAATTATGGAGTCATTAGAGGCTAATTATTGTGTATCAAATATTGTCAAAATGAGATAAGGATTGTTATTCTCTTCCAAGAATTTTGTGGGCATGATTAGTAGACGTTTGGAAAATTTTGAGGGAGAATTAGAATATTGAATTGGGAATCAAATATGTTAAGATCCTAAAATTTGTTGTATCTGGAGAAATTTATTTCAATGTATTTTGAAGAAGAAAAAGAAAGGAAACTGATAGAAAATAGTATTATTTTTTGTTATCAAAATTCAGTGGAAAGATTTGAGAAAACTCTTGAAAAATCTTAACAAGGATCAAGGCAAGCTCGGCTGAAGGGTTGGTATGTAGCACCCTGGATTTTTGAAGAAGGAAAATGTTACTAAGAGCATAATATTGAAGTTTAATTTTAGATGGTAGTTTTAGGGTAAATATTTATGGTAAGTTTGTATTCATCTTCAACCATTTATATTGTCACCTCATCATTAGTTCAATTTTAGTGGTGAAATATTTTAAGTACAAACCGATTAGTCTTTCTAATAATGTTGTATTTTCCACTATCCTTACTCTTTTAAATAATAATAATAATAATAATAATAATAATAATAATAAAGAAAGAAAGAAAGAAAGAAAGAAAGAAAAACAATCAATGGTGAAAAATACCAACTCACCCCATACCACCCCACCATTATTAAAACCAATACGATCATATATCATCAACTTATACCATCATATATTATCAACTTATGCCAACTCATTTTCACCTCAACAACCACTTACACCAACTCATCTTCACCTCAACAACCACATGCCTCATTTATCGTTTACCCTCAACTTACACCAACTCATTGTCACCTCAACAACCACATGCCTTATACATCATTTACCACCAACTTACACCAACTCATCTACACCTCAACAACCACATGCCTCATCTTCCCTTCCAACACACCAACCATGATTACCCTCTTCATCTTCTATTCTTATATATACTAGCCTAGTTGAAAGAAGCATTCATATCTTGTATTTCCTTCCATATTCTACTTCTTTATTTTTACAAAAATTTTAAAGTTAGAATTTGAGGAGAGTTGGCTATTCTATCAAGAAGGAGTTTTCATACTTAGCCAAGTTTTGTGCAAGTCTTAAGGTAGGATCTACAACTGTCACCCTCCTTAGATATATGTTTCATTTTGTTTATGATATATGCTATATATGAAATTAAGTCTTATTATTTGGTATGATATTTCAAGTAAATAAAAGAAAATGAAACTAAATGGTGATTTTCAACATGGTTTTGATCTTTGATCCGTTTGAAAAAGTTTTAACAAATTCTAAAACTTTTCTGTGTAAAATTTGAAAATGCAAGAGCTTATTTAGCATGTCTTTTACTTCTCTAAATTTTTATAAAACCATCGGAAAGTATTTTACAACCAAAATAATTATTTTTCTAAATTATCGCAAACAACCCCATGGAGAGAGTTATTTCAAGTGAAAGCCATTTTCTCTATAAAAATTATTTCCGTACAAGACCACTTGGGAAAATTATGATTTTGAGTTATCTTTCATGGAAAATCGATGCGTATCAAAAGAGTAATTTCAGTTTTTTCCAAAGTGCGACAGATTCTGTCCAATTTTCTTACAAAAATATTTCTCCATGTTAAAGAGATTTTCAACTTCCAAGTTCTTCTGAAAAAATATTTTGAACTTGAGTATCTAGCAAAAAGTTTAAATCTTACTTCAGTTTGATGTCATTTGTAGGCTCTTTTCAATTTTCGAACTTGAACTCTCTATTTTGAAGTTGCTAGAATCCTCTGTTTGAAATTTCCAGTTTTTTGTCAAAAATAAATTCTCTTGCTTAAACTGATTTTTAGCCTTCAATCCCTTTTAGTAGAATCTTTCTAACTTGTCTATCTAAATTTAGAATCTAGAATCAACTATTTTTGACACCGTTTGGTATTTCTTTTGATTTTCCAAACCTGGATCATCTATGCTGGAATCTGTTGAAAATAATTTAGAAGATTAATAATTGTTGTGTACTATTTTGTGCATCTCTATTTTGTTAATTATTTGGTATATTGCTTATTATGGATGAATTTGGAAGCTACACTCAAGGTTTAACTACATTTGTGAAGATTGGAGCCCCTAGGTGAGTAAATTCATGAGTTTGAGTTTGAGTTTGAGTTTGAGTTTGAGTTTGTGATTTTGTGGATTCAAAGTTAGATGGTGATCAAGAACATAAAACGAGTTGAATTTGATGATTATGAAATCATTATAAGCATGCCTGCAAGAAATTGCCATGAATTTGTATATTTGAGCATGAAGTATATGATCCATGTTGAAATTTGATTGAAGTTCATGCTTTTGATCATCTCTTCATCATTTAAGTTGAGAATGGAGATTATATCCCATATGCAAGTACAATTCATAGAGGTATGAGTTTTGAATGCATGAATTTAATGTGTTGGAAGTAAGTTTGGTATAATTTGGGTATGCATGTAATTGATTCATAGGATTTTAGCTTCATAATGTAGTGAATTGGTGTTTGTATCATGTTAGTAGATGTATATGAGAGTTATGGGTCATAAAATGCAAGCTATGTCAATTTGAATGCAAGTTTGAAGCTCAAACTGGTTGCTGGAAATTCCAGAATTTGGCATGTCCGCTCGAGCGGGGGAGAATGCCGCTCGAGCGTGAAATGTTAGTTCCTAAAACTTTTGCAGGCATTGATGTCCGCTCGAGCGGGGAGAGTCACCCTCGAGCGTCAGTCACATGTTTCGACTCTCAGCTCGAGCATCCAAAGTCATGCTTGAGCGCAAAAATGAGGCAACCAGTACTTTTGCAGACCAGATGGGTCCGCTCGAGCGTCAGAAACCGCGCTCGAGCAGGGAGCCCTGTTTCAGAAATTTTGTAAAGATAAATTTATGTTTTGTTTCCATTCTCTTTCACTTCTAAGCACTCTTAGGCATACATTGAGCATTGTAAGTGGACTAAGAAGACATGAAAGAAGCCTAAGAGGAATGTATGAGTTAAGAATGGATTAAATCGTTTGTGACCCGATATGTGTTATGTATTATGTAGGGTCGAGCATAAGGACGAATCCACCAGTAGAATACTGTGAGTAATATCTTAGTAAAGATATTTTGAATTATGCTATTTGTCTAATCGCTTACTCCTATTTGGGTTTCATAAGTTTGTTTATTTGAATTATGGACAAATATCCGTTAGATATGAATGATTGGGCCAAAGGCCGTTTGATACGAATGATTGGGCCAAAAGCTGTTTGATATGAATGATTGGGCCAAAGGCCGTCAGACATGAATGATTGGGCCAAAGGCTGTCAAATAGAAACATGAATTGGGCCCAGGGCTGTCTGATGTATTTGTCTCAAATTCTGTTCATGTATCTCCTTTATTAATATTATTCACTGGGCGTTCGCTCACTCTCATTCATGTGTCTGTAGGTGAGCCAAGAGATGTCCAAACCCAACCTCAGTGAAGTATGTGAGAAACAGTCAAAGTTTTAAAGAGTTAGCCCATACGTCTCACGCACGAGACTTGTTTTCTCCCTTTTGCTCTTTTGTTATATTTTTGCTATGTTGACGAAAACGTTGGATTACCTTTGTATATAAGTTTGTTTGGCTGACTGCATAATTGAAAGTTCCTGGATATAGATTAACTCTATGAGTATGTGTGAGTTATTATGAAACACTTTTGGAATCATTTTGCTATACTAGGTAAGCACAGCTCTATGGACAATTTGTAAGTTTGCTTCCGTTTTGGCCCCTCAACTCTGATAAGATATGTTTTATTTGGTTTAAGGCTGTAGGTAATCCCTTGATTAATGGCCGGTTATGACCTTAATCCATAGGGGTGGGTTCAGGTCATGACAGCATCGGCTCTCTTTGCTAAAAAGAAAGATGGAGTGTTGCGGCTTTGTACAGATTACCAGAAGTTGAACTGGGTGACTGTTAAGAACAAGTACCCAATGCCTCGTATTGATGATCTATTTGATCAGTTGAAGGAGTCTTAACGCTTCTCTAAGATATCTAAGATCGGGTTATCATCAATTTAGGGTAAGGGAGGAGGATATCACGAAGACGGCATTCTGTACACGGTATGGTCATTACGAGTTTCTAGTGGTGCCTTTTGTGCTAACCAATGCACCAGCTGTGCTCATGGATTTGATAAATCGGATTTTCTGTGAGCTTCTAGATCGTTTTATGGTTGTCTTTGTGGACGACATCCTAATTTACTCACACTCTAAGGAGGAGCACGAGAAACACTTACGAGTGATGCTTGAGTTGCTTAGAACCCATAAACTGTATGTTAAGTTTAGGAAGTGCGAGTTTTGGCTAAGGGAAGTTAAGTTCTTAGGCCATGTGGTATCCGGAGAAGGGGTGACTGTAGATTCATCCAAGATAGAAACAGTGCAAGATTGGACACAACCTAAGAATGCTTTTGAAATTCGTAGTTTCTTGGGGTTGGCGGGGTATGACCGTTGGTTTGTGAAGGATTTCTCTAGGCTAGCCTCACCTTTGACTAGGTTGACGAGGAAAGGAATTAAGTTTGTGTGGAATGAGACTTATGAGAAGTCATTCCAAGAGCTTAAGGTTAGACTTACCACTACTCCAGTATTGATTATTCCGGAGAGGGGTTTGGGCTATTAGTATATTGTGATGTCTCACAGGAAGGTTTGGGTTGTGTATTGATGCAAGATGGGAGGATAGTAGCCTATGGCTCGCAACAGTTGAAAACACATGAGAGGAACTACCCTACTCATGATCTAGAGTTGGCGGCAGTGATCTTTGCCTTGAAAATTTAGAGGCATTATCTGTATGGGGAGAAATTTGAGGTGTTTTCTAACCACAAGAGTTTGAAGTATCTGTTTACACAGAAAGACTTGAATTTGAGGCAGAGGAGGTGGATGGAGTTCATAGAGGATTATGATTTCGAGTTGCATTACCATCCAGGGAGGCCAACTTTGTGGCCGATGCTTTGAGTAGGAAATCAATTAGTAGTGTAGCTTGTATCGCCATCCGAGAATAGGAGATGTTGGGTACTCTTGGTGAGTTTGACTTGTATCTTAGCGAGTTCGTTGAGTCTGCAGCCTTGTTTACAGTAGTTGCACAACCCACACTTGTGAACCGAGTGTTAGAAGCACAAAAGAGTGATCTTAAGGTAGAAACCCTCTAGGAAAAGATCTCCAGTGGGAAGGTGGAAAAGGGCTTGAACATGTATTCCGACTCGAGTGTTAGATACCTTGACCGTTTATTTGTGCCGGAGTCTTACCGAGAGGAAGTACTCCGGGAGTTTCAACATTTACGCCTTGCGGTGCACCCAGGAGGCACAAAGATGTATCACGACCGTAGTCACTGATTTTGGTAAAAGGGTATGAAGAAGGATGCAGCCGTGTTTGTATCAAAGTGCCTTACTTGTCAACAAGTGAAGGCCGAGCATCAGAGGCCAGTGGGTTTGTTGCAACCCTTGCCTATAGCTGAGTGGAAGTGGGAGCATGTCACGATGGATTTTGTTGTGGGACTTCCTAGAACTCAACTGGGCAGTGATGCCATTTGGGTAGTAGTTGATCGGTGGACCAAGTCGGCACACTTTATACCTATGCGCGTGAGTGATTCGATAGATCATCTTGCCGATCTTTACATGAGGGACATGCTAAGGTTGCACGGGGTTTCTGTGATGATTTTTTCGGATAGAGATCCGAGTTTTACAACTCGGTTGTGGCAGAGCTTGTAGAGTGCCTTGGGTACTAGACTGACTTTTAGCACAGCATATCATTCTCAGATTGACGGGCAGTCTGAGCGTACCATTCAGATCCTTGAGGATATGCTTCGAGGTTGTGTCCTTGACTTCAAGGGGTCATGGAAGAGGCATTTTCCTTTAGTGGAGTTTGCCTATAATAATAATTTCCAATCGAGTATTGGTATGGCACCATTTGAGGCCTTGTATGGCTGACCGTGTAGATCTCTGGTGTGTTGGGCCGAGGTGGGTGATGCACTTTTGTTGGGTCCAGAGTTAGTTAGGGAAACGACGGAGAAAGTCACACTTATTCGTAAGAGGTTGGTTACGACTCAGAGTCGCCAAAAAAGTTACGCCGACCGTAGGAGGAGACCTTTGTTTTTTGAGATGGGAGATCATGTCTTTTTGAAGATATCACCTAGGCAGGGTTTGATGAGATTTGGGAAGAGTGAAAAGTTGTTCCCTCGGTTTATTGGGCCTTTTGAGATCTCTGAGCGGATCAGGGAGGTAGCTTACCGTTTGGCGTTACCGCCACAACTTTCTGGGGTTCATGATGTGTTTCATATTTGTATGCTTCGGAAGTATGAGCCGGATCCATCGCACATGTTGGATTGGATCGACTTAGAGATAGATGAGGATGCCTCGCATGAGGAGAGACCGGTGAGAGTCTTGGATACACGGGACCAAGTCTTGCGAGGCAAGACAATACCCTTGGTTAAGGTATTGTGGAAACATCACAGAATTGAGGAAGCAACTTGGGAGCGTGAATTGGAAGTTCGAGAGAAATATCCGGACTTATTTGTTGGTGTTTGAATATATATATATATATGGAGATTTTGATTATGCTAATGAAATTTAAAAGCATTGTATATGTTTTAAAACACAAGAACATTGTATATGTTATGGGGTGTTTGGAAACATGGATTCAATATAAGCATTGTTTATGTTTTGAGAATATGGAATATTGTGTGTGTTGTATCATTTTTGAAAACACTGTACATGTTGTGTACATTTTAAACATTGTAAATGTTTTGGGAAATTGTAAATTGCACTTCCAATATTGGAACTTGTGTACCAAGTTGATGAGAATGGATGACCAAAGAGTGGGTAATGGTGTTGAACTTGTAAGATTAACATTGTTGTGAATGGTTTAATAATGATTTTGAACTTGATTTGAAATTTTGGGGACGAAATTCCTTAAGGGGAGAGGTTATAGCGATTTCGGTTTTAACCCGACTCTTGTTGCATTCCGGACTCGGGCTTATAGTTTTTGAATGTTGTTCATTGTTGTTTTTTTCCTTAATCCCCCTTAAATTTGGTTATTGGATTGTAGTTGTGTGTTTAAAACAGGTTGGTTGCTTGTTTTTCCAAACCTTTGTTGCCCAGATTTTTGCTCCTCCGCTTGACTGGCCATTCTTGCGTTCGAGCAGGCTTTGCAATTTTCACTCCTCCGCTTGAGTGGCCATTCTTGCGCTCGAGCAGGCTTTGCAAACTCTCAGTATTTTTATAGACCTACAAATACTAGAAAAGTGTATTCTACGCTCGAGCGGCGTTTTCTACGCTTGAGCAGATGGACGCTCGAGCATCTAGTCTTGCACTTGAGCAGAACAATGTGTCTGATGCTCAAGTGTCACTTTTCATGCTCGAGCAGACTGTGTGTATAACAGATCGCGAAAATGATAACTTTTTTTTATCACTTTTTCATTCCTCTCTCTCTCTAAAACTTTCCAAAAACCTAGATCTTGAGTTTCTCTCTCTAAAACTTATCAACTTATCCATTGGGATCTTCACCCTAGTGCCTTTGAGAAAAAGGTAGAGCGTCTCAAGGGCTCCATTTTGATCCACGTAGAAGTTGGTTTTGACATCTTTGAAGCTTCTCCTTTGTTGCTTTGGTCTTCTAAGCTTGAGGTATGCATTTTGTACACTTTCATATGAATTTTAACTTAGTTATTTGATGATTGTGTAACAATGGTGGACTTTGGGTATATTATGGAAAAACCTAGGGTTTGGGTTGTAAAATCAAAAAAGGGGTTTCTAAGTGTATGTTAAGGAAATGGTTATGAGGTTAAATAAGGTGGTATGGTTACAAAATAGTTAATTTTGGCATTGGGTTGATATTTGGAATAAAGGGAGTTTGCCCTAAAATGATTCAAATATTTATTTTGTATAAATAAATGAAATTGTTGTTGTAAATATGAAATTGGACGAATATTGAAATAGATGATGGAGTTAGTTATGTATTACCTCTCACCTTTGGAAATTTTGAATAAATTATCTGTCTTGAAATTGAATATCTGTTTAGAAATAACTGTATTGGGCTATTGGTGGAGGGCATAAGGATTAGGTGAATTAAAACTAATCTATTGTTGGATGTCATTGAATATGACTATGTTTTAAATACATTGTATATGTATGATGTTTGGGAGGAGAAAGGGGGATATACTCCATATTTGGAAGGTAATAGATGATGGATTCCATTGAAATTAAGTTGGCCTGAGTGTCTTGGATAAAAGTCCTGAAACCGCGCGTATACATGGGTGCCAATCCCGTGGACAAAATTTTCGTAAAATGATAGATTGAAGTGTTTGTGTGGTAATTATGTTGATTAGATAACCACTGAGTTATAGTCTCAATTGGGGTTGTCACAGGCATTGTATATGCACATTGTACTTGTATCTTTGTTAAATCTCATATATTATGTTAGATTATTCTTACTGGGCTTTGGTTGACCCTATTTGGGAAAAATCATTTTCAGGTGTTGGTGATATGTCTCCGCCAAGACAATAGTTTGGAGGGACATTTGGAGAGCAAGAGCTTCTTTCTTTTGTGTATTTTTTGTATAGCCAAGGGCTTTAACTGTATTGAGCTAGGCTCGTTTTATTATAACCAAGCAATGACTTGGAAATATGTAAACCTATAGGGCATATGATTACCTGTTTAGTTTCAGTTCTCTTATTATTATAACACATGCTGTAGATTCAGGATGAACAATTTGTGAATGTATATCGCATGTGTTATCTTTTGTATACAAACTTTGATGAATAAAAGCATATTATTTCTATTATCTTTCCTTTTATGGGTTGTATTTGTTGTATTAATTTGAGGGCATTACACATCATCAAGCATTATTTTCAAAGTGGGGTCAAGTTTTATAGCCAACCAAAATAGGTTGTCTACACACCCTGGTCGTGAAATCCAAGTTGCTTAATTTCACAAACTAACACATATCAAAATTTCTACCACACAAGTGCCAAAAAATCAGACCTACACATGAGTTATACAATTCTATTTGATAAATTTCTCATCAAGAGAGATGATAAATGATTCCATGACACAAATATGTGATTCCATAAACATGTTCTAGCAACAATTCTAACATGAATAATAATTTTTGAAATTTTAATAAACCTTAACTTATCCAAAATTAGGGATTCTCCACCAAAAGTGTCTCATGCACAAATCAAACCTACAACAACTAATCTACTACTAATTGCATCAATAGGTTATGGAATGTAAACAAAATGAAAATACAACTAAAATCTAACCCTAGCATGTTGAACAACAATGTAAGGAAAATAAATTAACAAAAAATGCATAGTGACATATAAGAGAGAGAGAGGGAAGAACCCCTATTCAAGAAGTGAAGGAAATGAGAGAAACCCTAGGTATGCAACCTCATCGAAATGAAATTATATGAAACTATAAAAATGAAGCTCACGATAATATCTGCAACTTTAGTACTTGAATGGAAACTCGGTTCTCACTCTAGGTGTATCAAATTCAAAATCTAAGTTGGTTAACAATGGTGGAGTTCAGAGAGAAAGAAAAGAAATAGAAAGATATAGAAAGAATGTGTGATGGTGAAAAGTGATTCTCTAGGATGAAAAGCCGTGCACAAGTATAAAAGAATAAATGAAATAAGTGAAAGAGAGTGATCCACACTGCCCAAATCAGATATGGATTCGTCACACTGCTTGAGCAGTGAAATGATCGCTTGAACGGTCCCCTTAATCTCTTAGTTTCTACTTTTTCCAATAGAGGAAAATATTGCCAGGCATCATAAACCACCTCCCGAGCGGTAAATGCTAGTTCATAGAGAAAACTTACACAACAAAAAGTTCTACAAGTAGCACAAGACTACTTGAGTGTTGAAACAATCTCTCAAGCAAACACCTAGTCATTCTAATGTAGAACTAAGTAAGAACACTAACTCTCAAACCCAACAACTCCCACTAGCAACGGGAATGTAATACAATGCAATAAGTTAAATGTATAAGATTCAATCACATTGTTACAACCTCAGCAACAAAAAAACAAGAAAACATTAAGTCATGATAGCCCATGGATCCAATTACGAATAGTTCAAACTCAAAGATAAATAAATTAAACTAAGGTTTCGAAAACTTGAGATGTTACATTAACACTAAAGCAAACTAATCACTAGACTAAATGCCATATATACCCATAAAAGTGGACTTATCACCAATTTTTTCATAATTCTCTATGTTAACTCAATATTTTAATCTAGAAGTCAAAAAGTCATTAAAAAAATTAAAAACCAACTACCTATACCAAAAAGTCAAATAGGAGTATTCATTTTTCTCTCTACTTTTTACACATCTTTTCATAAAAAATCAAAAAGTCATTCCAAACATACTAATTTTTTTCCTCATTAGCCAAAAATTAAAAAGTTACTAAAAAAACTTATTTTCAAACGAGGCCTTAGTTACATAATAAACTTATTAGTATTCAAATAGGATTTCAATGCAAAAATAATTGGTAGAAAATTACATGTCTCATTTATATCCTATTCATTGAAAATCAAAATACTCATCATTATAGAAAGATTATTTGGTGATCTTAGAGCAATCCTAGCCCACACCATTTATATTGTGCCACTCGTTCCTTTTGTCTCCAAAAACCCAATACATATGGTGTTTGGTAACGTTTACGTTTTTCATTTATGTTTACAAAAAAATTGTAAACTAGTTTTTGATTAATTTTAGAAAAATAAAAACTGAAAACACGTTTTGTTAAATAAAATGTTTGAAAAATTTTAAAAACAAAAAAATAAAAAATGCTTCTATAAATGCTGCTCTTGTGGTTCGAATAGCTGACCTTGTGCATTTGTGTTCCTTCTCTATTTTTCTTCAATTTCTAAACTTTTGGTGCCGTTTGGTAACATTTACGTTTTCAGTTTTCTGTTTATATTTACAAAAATTTTAAAAATTCAAATAAAAATTTGTTTGGTAAAATTTTTGATTTATAAATCAATGGTCTCAGTTTATAAATTTGGCCAAAAAATGAAAACACAAAAAATGTGTTTCTATTTTGAGTTTTCAGTTTTTTTTTTATCACCCAACATTAGCCACCACCCGCCACCATATTCCACCACCATCTTCCGCCACCACCACCCACCTTCCACCACCACTTGCCACCACCACTCACCACCCACCTGCTACCACCAGCCACCACCCGCCACCACCACCCACCACCCACTTGCCACCCACTCGCCACCACCACCTACCCCTCACCGCCGCCGCTACCACCACCACTACCACCCATTTGTCATCCACCCGCCACCACCCACCACCTACCACTACCAATAGGACCACGCAAACCCTAACCCTAGATCTCGTGCCTAGCAGCATTGGGAGTGCAGTAGGTGCTTAAAATTATTGGGTAACCACCTTGGGTGTTAGAATAGGTTTTTAGCAGTTTGGGTGTTTTGGTGGGTTGATTTTGTGGGAATCTTGTATTTTATTTTCTGTTAAGTCCTTCTTAACGTTTTTTTTGTTTAAAAAAAAAAATCGTGAGGCTAAGGGGTTGGTT